CAATATGCTGACTCTCTGTAAACCGCTTAGAGAGGGCTGAAAGCCCTATGAAGCGGTATATAAGTCTACTGCTATTGATAATACTTTTAGGAAATTTCCTGTGCTAATCCTAGTCATGGAATCTTTTCTAGCCATGGCAGATGGATGAGAAATGCTGAACCCCACATCTAGCCCCGACACAAACTAAGAATTGGTTGTCCAAAACTCAGAATTGGATGTCCAACTCTCAGAAAAGGCAGAGGCATCTCAGCATTGAAGCAGCATAGAAAGCCTACTCAGACTAAGCAGCTGAACCTGTTGGGGGATTTGGAAAGGCTTTATCAATGGCACAAGAATTCCTGGAAGATGTTGCAGCGACTCTGCGACAAACCCAAAGAAGAGTTACCCCCCAAACACCAGCATTCAATGGACGATGACTTGGATGAGCTCCTCATGTAATGGACAGTTTATGAAGGCTGCCTCAACGACATCCAGTCACAACTAAATGACAAAAAACGCCAGAAGGACATGCTGCACCTCCAGATGTTAAACAAAGACATAATAGGCAATTTTGAAGTAACAAAGACATTATCCAAGCCATTCTTAATAGGAAGACTACACTGGATGAGAAGGCCACATCCGAAGTGTCCCATTGTTCGCATGCACCATCTCAGCGGTCGCATGTTGATTCCTCTCATGCTTCTAACAAAGCATCCTCATCTAGTCCCAAGGACACACCGGTAGAGAAGGCCACATCTGAAGTATCTCAATGTTTGCATACACGATCCCAATAGTCACATGCAGCTTCCTCCCACTTCTCTAAGAAAGCCTCATTCCTTTACCCAAAGCCAACCAGACTTGAAGTCACCAATGTTCTCTGCTCCAGCAATCCACCCAGAAGCAACTTACGTAAAGAAGAACAAAAAGCACTCACCAACTTGAGGAAAGACAACAACATAATCATTTTCCCAGCAGACAAAGGTAACGCCACTGTGGTGATGAACACGTCTGAGTACCAAGCCAAACTATCCAACCTACTCCAAGACCCTGCTTACAAACCTCTAAACACAGACCTCACCACCTACCAAATCCAAAATAAAAGCCTCTCCCATTAGTGAAGAGATCCAGCAAAGAATCATCCCCACAGAGAAATCATCCACATGCCCCAAGCTCTATGGCCTCCCCAAGATACACAAAGAAGGAACACCACTCAGACCCATAGTCAGCTTCATAGGCTCACCTCTACAGTATCTTGCCAAATTTCTTGCCAAACAACTTCAGCCCTACACAGAATCCATCACCTCACATGTACAAAACCCACTCCACTTCATAGAAACAATAAAGAAACAAAACCTACAACTCAGCGACCTACTCGTGAGCTTTGATGTCGTATC